CAAATACTTTTGTGATATTTCAGGGACTTTTGGAGGTAGGATCTTGTTGGAGGAGGTAAATAAAAGTTGCGGACAAAATTTCGGGACTTGCGGAGCACCGAGGAGCAAGATATCAAAGAAAAGAACATTTTGGCTTTACAGAGATTTACACGGCCGTGTAAATGCAAGCCTTGCGTTTACGCGGGCCGTGTAAACGTAGATTTCTGCGCAGTATACTTTTGCGTTTACGCGGGCCGTGTAAATGACAGTGTTAATTTACGCGGGCCGTGTAAACGTAAATGCGGTTTTAAAGCAGTTTTTCACCATTTTTAAAGGGGGAACCGACTTTTTACAGGGGGTCGACTTTTGGAGTAGAGAAGGCGAATTTCTTGAGGATTTTGAAGTTGATTAACACTTGGGAACATTTGATTTCATTTTGTAAGAACTTTAATTTCATTTTCTAGATTTGTGATCTTGTTCTAGCCATGAGTGGCTAGAACCCTAAATTCTCCAACTTTATGTCTTGACATTTGGATGTGATTTCAATCATATGACTTGATGTTTGCTTTCAATTTTCTATCTAGTGAATTTGATTTTGTCTCAATTGAATGTTTGATTCTAATTGTGATTCTTATTGGCCATTTGGATTAGGGTTAGATCATTCAAGTTATCTAATTGCAAAATCCGTAATTGTTTTGTAAATTGGACTAGGTAACAAGCACTAATCTGATTTCTATTGAATGAAATTAGTGTAAATCTATTCACACATTCTTATGCTCCCGAGCTTATGAGGAGTATTGATTATTGTTGGGAACATTCACATAAAGTTTAATGCAATCTTTCAACCTAATTCTAAGAGCTTGTTTAGATTAGATTGGTAAGGTTAGGATTAATCAAAGAGCTTGTTTTGGTTAATTATTGTGGTGAATGGGAAGTGTTAGAGCTTGTTAACACTTTCAAGTACCAACTTAGATAGAATTAAACAAATATCTTGTCATCCATGGAATCACATTGCTAATTTGTCTTGCATAGAGTTGGAGTTCTCACAAATCCTGAATTTGTTTCATTTAATTGATCATTTACTTATTGCTTTATTCTTTTGTTTAAATCATTGCATACCAACCCCCCATTTATGTGACCATTATTGTACCTTCCGCAAAAAGGTATAAACATTTGTTCCGTGTCTCTGTGGATCGACCCTACTTACCTTGTATTACATTTCTAGTACAAAGTAGTAGTGTTTAAGGAGTTATTTTACCCCTTTATTTGTTGGCTTTGACACGCTTAACAAATTGGCGCCGTTGCCGGGGACACGGTGTTACTAATTGTTTATGCCAAGCATTTTGTGAGCAGGTGCTTTAAAAAAAAGTCAGGTAGAAGATAAGTTTTCAATTGAAGGAAGTGACGAGAAGGTTAATGTGTTGTAAAGGCCCACCTACTTAGAACAAAGCACATTCAGGGGCCAAGTCGAGCCAACGACTTAAAACAAGGGTAGCTAACCGGGAGGCAACCCGGGGGTTTTTTTTTTCCTTTATTTTAAAACTTTTTAGTCTTTGGTAAATTTCAAGTTTTTGTTAATGTCCCAAATGGTTTTAAACTTATTTTTTATGCCTAGAAAATGAATCTCCGACTCCAAAAATACCTCACGGATAGCATGGGGAGGATGAAGAGGAGGTTCACACCACAATTGTGAGGCACCAAGAACGATTTGGTAAATTCTTTCCATATCTTTAATCGTTCATATTTTACTTAAAATTCAATTTGTGTGCATTTGTGACTGTTTTGGACCCATTCATCAGCTACCATCCTCCACCATCTGACTCTTAATAGGCCGACTATGCCTCTCTCCAAGCATCGAGGACGATGCTTATCTTAAGCTTGGAGAGGGGCATCCATCCATGCATTATCCCGTTGCATGTAGGTTGCATGTAAATTTTGTACATATTGCATTGCATTGCATTATTTTTCTTTGTCATTTTTTAGAAAAAATTTCAAAAACCAAAATGATTTTCTTTATACTCTATTTTTATTATACTTTTTGCATTTTGCATCTAAATTTTTGTATTTTCGTTTAACTTGAAAAAAAAAAAAGTAAAAGTAAAATTTTTTGATCCAATTTCAAGCAGCCAAATCTTCTCAAAACAGTTAAGATGGTAAGTGAGTTGTGTGCCTTGAGATTTTACTTGCTATTTTTATTAAAAAAATATATAAAAGCAATTTAATCACACGAGCACATCTCCCGAAGCTACTTGTGCAAAGCAGAAAATGAGAAGATTGTCAACACTGGAGCATAACAGCAGGTATGAGTCGATTATTTGGGACATATGACCGGTCTTATGAGTAGTAATGCTCAATTAAACTTAAAATGCCAAATTCAAAAGTTCATAAAAAGAATGCAGAATCTCATTGTCCCGCCTTCCAGCGCTCTTAAAAGTCTTTTCTACTCATTCCCTTTTATATACCCTATTTGGGGACATAGCTTTCAACTATACTTACGGGTCTTTGCATGTTAACATTTAGTCCCTCGAAAAATGTGTAGAAGTCCCTCACGGTAATAAATCGTGAGATGTCCCACAATAGAAAAGTCAAGGACAAAAATATAAAGAAATTGGCCAAATAAATAAATTAATAAGAGTGTTATGTGTTAACTTAGTTATTTGTATATGTGTTACATAAAATTTAAAAAAAAAAAAAAAAAAAAAAAAAAAAAAAAACCATCTTAAGTTAATCTGTGACCTTTGGGATTCGAACAAGTAAACTCTGAGGGGTGTTTTACACCTAATCGCCTAAAGCTAAATTGTATGGGACTGATTGAGTTGAAAATTCGTTACACGGGTTCCATAGAAAGTTATGAACTTAATAATAGCAAATAAAGTTAATCTGTGGCCTTTGAGATTCGGGCAAGTAAACCCGAGGGATCTCTTTAAATCTAGCACACTAAGGTCATTTGATTTGGATGTGTTGGTTGGAAGCCCGTTACACGGATTTCAAAGAAAGCCATGAGCTTTATTTGTAAAAAAAATGTAATTAGGAAGTTTGTATATAATTGTGTTTATACTTTAATTGAATACTGTGTTTAGCAAAAATACTTGGCTATCAAAAGATTCCCTTGGACTTGGATTTGAATTTATGACATTAGACTGAATGTTAATTACTTCGACTGGTGTAAGTGGTTTGAAGTTTGTAACCAATCTGGATAAATATTAGGGAATTTTTAGAAAAGATTTTTCAGAAAAAGATTGTTGTTGACCAACAAATAGCTGGAATCAAACATTGTTATATTTTATAAAACAAAGATGGTTGAGCATGTTTTGTCACATATAATTTCACGAGAGTAAGACCATAATTTGTTCCAAGAATTGACTTGATGGTATTGAAAAGGAATAAGTGTTGTGATCTTTGATTCTGTTGAGTTGTACTAGGGAGTGGCCAAAGTCTTGTTTCTATTATCATATAATATTTTGAGACTAAAGCCAAGTTAACTCAAGGCATGATAGGTACATTCTCAACTATGGTACAAAACAAGGTAATTGGGTTGGATCTTTTCAAGTTTGTTTTGATTTCATGCATTAAGTTTCAAATAGTTTTAACTTTGATTTTCTTTTCTTTTCTTTTTATTTTATTTTCTCCAGTTTAAATTTTCTTGTTCTTTCTTGAGGACAAAAAAGGTTTAAGCTTGGGGAGATTTGTTAGGTGCATTTCATGTACCCATTTTGTAGTTTTAATCCATAAAAGTGCATTGCATTTAGGTTTAAACTCATGCATTTAGCATGTTTTTCGGGATTTTTCATGAGGCAATTTCATTCAAATACTTTTGTGATATTTCAGGGACTTTTGGAGGTAGGATCTTGTTGGAGGAGGTAAATAAAAGTTGCGGACAAAATTTCGGGACTTGCGGAGCACCGAGGAGCAAGATATCAAAGAAAAGAACATTTTGGCTTTACAGAGATTTACACGGCCGTGTAAATGCAAGCCTTGCGTTTACGCGGGCCATGTAAACATAGATTTCTGTGCAGTATACTTTTGCGTTTACGCGGGCCGTGTAAATGACAGTGTTAATTTACGCGGGCCGTGTAAACGTAAATGCGAGTTTTAAAGCAGTTTTTCACCATTTTTAAAGGGGGGAACCGACTTTTTACAGAAGGGGGTCGACTTTTGGAGTAGAGAAGGCGAATTTCTTGACGATTTTGAAGTTGATTAACACTTGGGAACATTTGATTTCATTTTGTAAGAACTTTAATTTCATTTTCTAGATTTGTGATCTTGTTCTAGCCATGAGTGGCTAGAACCCTAAATTCTCCAACTTTATGTCTTGACATTTGGATGTGATTTCAATCATATGACTTGATGTTTGCTTTCAATTTTCTATCTAGTGAATTTGATTTTGTCTCAATTGAATGTTTGATTCTAATTGTGATTCTTATTGGCCATTTGGATTAGGGTTAG